CTCTTAAATTCCTAAGTAGGCAAATTATTTCTAATTTATCCTACATCTTCATTAGTCTGACATGTCAGATGGATGACAAATTAGATTGCCAAAACAAAATCAGTCAAATTCGCAAAAAAATATTGTAGTGTTGATGAGAATATAACAAGAAGGAAACACCTGACAACTGAAACATGGGATGAGATGGAAGTCATTCTTTGTGAAAGTATTTACTTTCCAACAATTTTGACAAACTTCACTATAATTCAGGACAACATGTGAATAACTAAGTAAACACAAAATTTTCAAAAATAAAAAATTTTAAGTTAATTGGTAAAATACGATAGTCAGGTTGTCAGGAATCCAATTAGGGATAAAATACGAAATTACACAAGGGTAGATTGGTCTTTTTCATTGTAATAGCTGCAATTAGGGTTAGGGTTTTGGGTTGACCGAATTAATCCTAACGATTACCATCATATCCCACGGCCGCCACTGACCAAAACAGCCAAGCGATTTCTGTCTCCATAGTCGGCCGTCTTCATCACTTGTAGCCTATAAAGGTATCAAAGAAAATAAAGCAATTTACCTCAAAGTTTCTCATCTTTTTCTATGTTTTTTCTCTCTTCTCTTCTCTTTTCTTTTCTCAAGTCCGAAGCCATGAGCAAGTCTTTTGACACAGGCAGCATCTCAATCCAGAGCAGAATTAAAAACTGATATTAAAAAAATTAACTTGGCAACCTCCTGCGACCACCCCAACTCGCCAAGCTTCTCTTGACATTGAAGAATATTTGAAATATTAAATTCCAAGAAACCACGAAACCCACTCCTAATTTCCAAGGCTTCTCCTAAAGATAAGGAGATTGTTTGTTTTAGGTGTGGAGAGAGTGGACTCATGGGTTACCAATGCCCAAAGAATAATAACTTGCATGTCGCAGTAGAACAACAGGAGGAGACGCAAGAAAGAGATTATGGTTATGAATCATATGAGGATGATGGTCTAGCTCCTAATGGACAAGTAAATACCTCTTTTCTAGTCAGCAATAAGTGTATATCAGCGGTACTTTGTCATTTACCAAAAAAAAATGGTGTGCCAGCAGACTCTGAAGTAGAGAAGCAAGAAGAACCACCATATGCTGTTCCTGTTCATCAAGATCCTTTCCTAGAAGACAGCTCATGAAATTCCATGCAATAACCAACTTGATTCACCAATTGGTTAACATGCTGATTCCATTCTCCTGCTAGGATTTCACACTTTTAAACAATTGTCTTTCCATTAAAGTTGGGAATTGACACATATCAATTCCTCATACTTTTAAAATTTTTTCATATTATATAGCAACATATATACTAGCCATCTATTAAATTTTTATATATGAAATATAATTTTTAAATATATTATTAAACGTGATAATATATAAAAATCGACTTAGATTTTTAACTATAAAAATAGAATTTAATATTAAGTTGACTACAAATTATGCACTAAATAATTTTTAAATTTAAAGATAAAATTATTGTGACAATATTACTATGTGATTAGTATGTACTTAACACAAATTCTAAAATTATACACTACAAATTTTTATCACCTATTTCTCTCTACACACTTCAATCATCCTAAAGATCTTTTACCAAAGATTAAGATATGATAATTTTTTTTTACATTTTAATTAGAGATTTTTTTTTACTTCTACCTTATTTTTACTCACATAAAATACATTTATTATTTTTCATATAATTATAGAAAAACATATTTTGTGTGTAGCACATTGATAAAAATCTAGTTCTTTTAAATATAAAACAATTATACTATTTAGGAATCTATTATTATGGTTTTAATAACTTTTAGATATTAGTATTTGTTTTCCTATTTGTACCAGTAGTAGTATTTTTAATCTTATTAGTAATATAATTCTCTATCTTGATAGAAGTAGTATTTCTAATCTCATTAGTTTTAATATTTATTAGTCTACTCCTACTTAGGAAAGACTTACTTGTGCTCTACAAATACTTTTATAATCTCCTTGAGATCATCATTCAGTTATTCAATAAAATACTTTGAGGGTTTCTCCATTTTCTAGTTGTGAA